TAGTGAAATTTACAGATGGGTCCAAAATAATTTATATACACTTCAATAATTTATTGATAATCCAGATGTGATACAGAAGGGGATGGCCACAACAGATGTTGAACTAGAAGAAATGTTCAGTGTGCCCACCACTAGCATGTAGACACTTCTGAGTTCGGCAGACTAGTGAACGAGCAACCATGGCCAAGGTGTCCACTGGGATAGCGGCACATGACATTGTCGATGGTTTTTAACAATATACCACATCCTTCAGTGACCCCCACAAGTAAAAGTTGAAGGGGGTTGAAACAGGTTAGCGCCCAGGATACTCAACACTACATCTTCATCCCATCCATTGACCTGGTAGGGTTTCATCATGGTAGCCTCTGATGTCTCGGTGGTATGATGGTGGTGCACCATGTTATTTAAAGTAAAATGGTCACTCCCACAGAGCTGATGAGTGACAGGTAAAATTAATGTTCAAAGCATGTTGAGGTACGTGGGGCCAGTAATTGTTTCATCAAATAAGTACGGTCCAGTTAAACCTCTGTATGACAGTATGGAAGGCGTACTAGTGAAATTAAATCCAGGATTGCCATGGCAAAAGCTGCATTTAGCAAGAAGAAGAATCTTTTTACGAGCAAATTGGACTTAAATTTGAGGAAGAAACTAGTGAAATGCTACATTTGGAGCATAGCTCTGTATGGGGCTGAAACATGAACACTTAGGGCAGTAGATCAGAAACATATGGAAAGTTTCGAAATGTGGTGTTGGAGAAGGATGGAGAAGATCAGTTGGACCGATTATGTGAGAAATGAAGAAGAGTTAATTAGAGTCAGTGAGCAGAGGAATATCCTACACAAAATAAGAAAACGGAAGGCTAATTGGATTGGTCATATCTTACACAGAAACTGCCTTCTAAAGAAGTTATTGAAGGAAAGATAGAGGGGCGGATAGAAGTGACAAGAAGATGTAAGAAGATGCTGGATGACCTTGGGGACAGAAGAGGATAATGTCATATGAAGGAGAAAGCTCTAGATTGCATTAAATGGAGGTATTGTTTTGGAAGAGACTGTGGACCTGTCGTCTTGACAGATTACTGATGATGATGATGATGATGATGACGACGACAGTCCACACCAGACAGTCCTGGTAAATTGGCTGCTTTGCCCACATGAATGTCTGGATATTCCGGAGCTAAGTATACAGAATTATTGCGATTCATGTACCATTCAGCTTAAATGTTGCTTCATCAGACCAAACAGTTTTGCTCAAGAATTCCTCATACTCTGTAACTTGTGTTTAAACCACTCAACAAAACTGCACTCTGTGATCAGGATTGCCTTCATTTATGGCGTGTAACAACCTTGGCACATCAACGTTCCGTTTAACACATTTTGAATGCATTGTGCACTTTTTGCTGAGCCCTGTGTCAATTGCACATTGGTTTGTGGACTTTTATGGTGGTCATATAAAACTGTTCCAACACTATAGAAGAAGAGGCGGGACTTGTTACTGTGCCAGGCCTCCCAGATCTTTTCTTGTGCACATGGACCTCTAATTTTTTATGAATGCACTTATACTACAACTGTCTTTGTATTCGCACACGTTTTCAGATTTCCATTACAACTTCGAAATTATCTTATGTTGCTCGAATATAACCCTCCACTGCCATATTCTTTGACAGTCCAGCCATTTGATAGGGTGGCTCTGGCATTTATGTGACTAACACCATGTTTTGAGAGAATATCACACTAGACATTGTACATTACGTTTCAGTTGAACTGTGAAAGTGTCCGTAGATAACTTATGTTAAAATGTGTATACATGTTTGGGCACCTTATAAGTTTTAGTTAATGCATTCTTAGATTTGCTGTTGACACTTCATTGCACACACTTTACTTATTCATATTTGTTCAGACTTTACTTTGCAGTCTGTTGTGTGGCAGGAATTCTGAAACTATAGTCAAGAAATTAAAAACCCCAAAAAGCAGTTGTTTGTCACTCTGATTACACTGAATGACAGAAAAGTTTGCCAATGTATGCCAAGAATATTTATCGTACAGGATATATGTTTCACATGAAGGTGCATATTGTGACGTGATGGCTAAAAGCCCGAATTGTGGAGTGAGAAGATACATCCATTGCTAGGTTACAGCATGGCAGAGACACGATGGTGCTGTTAAGTGGTCATTCCTAACGGCCAGCGTACATGTCAAGAGTACCTGGGCCATTGATAGCCAGCCGCCCATGGCAACAGCAGAGGAGCTGTTTGGGGCATTGTTTTCTGTTTGTTCATTTGCCGAGGTTATAAAACAGGAGCCTATGGACTTTTCAGTAGTTTTGCGCCTGATGAGTTGGAAACTACAGTATTCCAAAATAGATTTGTAGTATTCAGATCTCCTGCCAATAGCGACTTATGTCTAAAGCTTAAGAGCTCAGTGATGTCTGCATCATTCCAGGCGTGGCCTGATGCAAGTAACACTTCACTATTACCAATCGGTATGCAGACCCCAGTGGCTTCTATTGAAGTGAGGGAAGGCAGGTATAAGAGTACATGATTATGGGGAATGTCTTTTCTAACTGCAACAGCAGTTCTGCTATAGTCCGATAAAAGTGATAATTTGGAATGAAGAACTTATGGTGTTTGAGATATGTCTCTGAGAGCAGAGCCACATCAATTTGTAAGTCGTGCAGCTGTTTACTGAGCTCATTGTGCTGCCACTAAATACCATTTGCATGGTATGCTGTGACTCTGAGTGCCTATGAACTTTAGCAGCCAATGTGTTTCATGAAGGTTAAATACCATTTTTTGTAATGACCATTATTTTGTCTTTTTCTGACACATCTTCACTGAGATCTTTGATGATCTGTCTCTGTGTCCATGTCCATAGTGTGAATTCATGAGTTAAGACTGCTTTTGGAGGCAGCTTGACAGCTGCAGATGTTGGGACTGGTTTAGTTGGCTTCGTGGTTGTCTGTGAGGTATTATTATTAGAGATGTGGCTCTTGCGCCCCTTTATGCCATGGAAGTCATCATCCTCACTCGTTGATTCCATTGATATTTTGCTCATTACACCACTTTGCCCTGGCTGTGCACTCACCTTCAGGATGGCTTGCAGTTCATCCAGTATTACCATGTACGTATTGTAAAGAGCGCTAAAAAGCGGCTTCCCATCTAGGCCTTTACAAAAGTTTGCTCTGTTCTCCGCACTGCTCACAATAGAGATCCATTCATAGCTTTGCCCCACTTTCACTGGGGTGCATCTGGCAAGGTTCTGAATGTCACTGAGTTCCCTGTATACTTGTTGCATTACAGAAGTTGCTTTGGGGTGTTTATTCATGATGGCATGACATTCAGATTTCAGTGATACTAGCTTCTGTGTCCAGTATTTCTGGAATCCTGGTATTGGGACATCCACCATCTTGGTGTACACTCAAGTTCACTGCATGTTTTGATGTTTTGCACAGCACTGCGCACATTGCTGCCAGGTGTCAAACTTCACTGACACCACCTTTGCCAAATGGGTGTTGGTCATGAACACGTTATGTAAAGTGAAGTCTGTGGAAAAGACATTGTCCAGCACACATTAAGTTTGAATCACAAAATCCAATCAAGAGGTCAAGAGATGTGAGAGAGTTGCCAGCCATCATTGAACATGGAAGCTGAGGAATCTACGCTGATGTGGTATCTGTTTCCAGGCATTGCACATTGAAGACATGGAAGACCTAGTGCGTCCCATAGTGAAGTGTAAAGTGCTTAACTGGTGGATCTGCTATAAATACTTGTAGTTCCGATTTGTAAGAGTCAAATAAATCCAGTTACCAAACCAAACCCCATGTCTAGTCACTAAACACATGACAGTATTTTCATATGATCCCGTCATATACATGACACCTGCTGTTGGAGCTGAAGGGTGTTCATTCCCATTATGCAGCAATACAGCTTTGAAGCTAAGCTTTGAGGAATCATTATACAGCTGCCATTTGTTTGGGGTCATGCTGTATGGTAAGGGCTTCCATGAGAGAATCCACATTATTATAGTAAACTGAAGTTCCTCCTAGAGAAGAAAATAGTAAAAAGTCTTTTCAGTCCTTGCATAACCTTTCACTCAGAAAGTACTGTTCCATATGTTTTTTTTTGTGTCATAGTAATGCCTAATCTGTGTTAAGAAGAATGACAGTATGTTAAATGGTCTTTTGACTCTGTTTATATCGTGGGAATAATGAAAGATGTTTGAGGAGGACTATTTAGTCAGCCCGTTGGAAGTCTTAAAATTTAATGTGTACCTTGTCTTGAGCCCTTTCGTCGTAACCAAAATAAAACTTTTACACTTTTTGATAAGGGGAGTGAAATTTCACCTTTGACTTTTAAAAGTCTGCACACACAGCAGGAACATTTTGGTTGATTGACACTTGGCATGCTGGCATGATGTGTACAGACTCACACAAAAAGATGATATTCAGATTACTGGAAATTCAGAAATTTCATGAATAGAATAGACAAGATCCATTGAGTGAAAACATGCTAGCAACTAACCAGTAGAAGTCAGCATGTAAGCTGTGTGGCAAACAAAATTGAACAAGAATGGACATGTATGAGTACTACACATAAATATGCAAGGGGTGACATGCAGAACCATAGAAATCGTGGGAGAAGCAAGTCGCAGACCCTTCTCTGTTTCTGTTGTAATATGTGTCCTGAATAATGTAAGCCTGTGTGTCACTAAAAACTGTTATTAATAGAAAATACTGCTTTGATTTTTGTAATTTGCATAGAAGTAATATAGATCACAAAAACTATCTGTGTGACAGAAACTTTATTGAATAGAGTTAAAATTCTTCTGGGTTCATGTACTTGTATGCTACATGTTTGTCATTGCTCTTATTGTCCTGTTGTATTTATCTTAGTGTTTACCTCAGATTTCAGTGCGAAGAGAAATAACATGAATACCAGTGCAGAAACATTTTTTAATTATTCCCAGAACTATTCTGAAATATAATTTTTGTTCTTGTTATAGATGGTGCAGTTTGCAAGGATATTAAGTAATGTTTTCTTCTGATGTGAAGCCAAGGTTTTTGAAACCAGGTAAGTGTTACATTATACAGAACTCTAGTATTACCTTAGTTTAATATGGGTTTGAAACTTGGTTTCTCTTTCTAAGGGAAGAAGGGAGAATATTTGCATCTAAGAGTGAGGAAGTAATAGTGGGATGGAGAATATTATGTAATGAGGAGCTTCATGAATTATATTCCTTAAATATTATTAGGGCGATGAAATGAAGGAGGATGAGATGGGCAGGACGTAGGGAGGTAAGAAGTGCATATTTAATTTTAGTTAGAAACCAGAAGGGAGATATTGGAAGGCTTAGGCTTGGTTGGGTGTGCAGTAATAGAATAGAGCTTACAGAAATTGATTACATGTTAATTGGATTCATCTCTATCAGGATGCTATCCAGTGACAGGATCTTTTCAATATAATAATGAACAGTCATATTCCATAAAATGCAAGGAATTTCATGACCAACTGAGGAGTTATTGGCTTCTGAAGAAGGATCCTGCACCGTGGAGTTAAATTCTATCTTTGAGAGGTTTTACTGTACACAGTCCTTTCTTATCTTCCAGAGGGGAGCATAAGCTTCTGTACTTCAGTGTGTTGTGTTTAATCCTTTGTTTGTTATTTGTGAGGTGTCATATATCTTAGCTATGTTTGATTCATGTTCTGTGTGATATTACTCTTCTCCCATATTGAAATTTGACAATCTTTGGACAAATTTGTGGGCTGCACGAAACATTCATTTACGGCCTTATGCATGCTCGGAATTCATTATGGATCAGTGTGGCTCAGAGTTTAAATTTTGTGACAACTTTTGGTAGAATTCTGTTATCAGATCTCAGCAAATTCTGTGAAATGCTTTATGGAATATTTGGAAAAGCCTGTTTGTTGTTTTATGTAAACTGGGCTTTGTTATGGATCAGTATGACTGGGAATTGGAATTACATGGCAGCTTTTGGTGGAAGTTACCATAGTGAACTTTAGCAATGTCTGTAAAACCATGTATGGGATACATGGAAAAGTTCATGTATTATCTTATATAAATGAGGCTTTGTTATGGAACAGTACTGATGAAAAGCAGAATTATATAGCAGCTTTTAATGAAAGTCTCCCAAATTAAGTTGTAAGAAAATCTGTCCAACAGTTTAAGTGCTGATAGTAGGTCGACAGATGGACATACATGACCTCCATATAAGGCATTCTTTTTATACTTTGTAAAGAATAGATTCTAAAGGGACAGTGGTGTGTAATACTTAGAATTAATGGGTTTTTGGACTTTGTCCATTGTCCAGTAGTCTAGAAACTAGAAAACACAACGTTTTGGGAACTTTATCTGTTTCTGTCCTCGGAGGGGGGGGGAAGGGGAAGTCATCTACTCAGTTTGGTCCCTTAGAAAGAGCTAACCGCAATCACCTCAAGCCAATGATTGAGGATAGCTCTTTCTAAGGGACCCCCTCTTGCCTTAGGATGGAAACAGATTGAGTTTCCGAAACGCTGTGTTTTCTAGTTTCTAAGACACCAGCCGATGGACAAAGTTAAAAAACCCAGTAATTCTTAGTAAAGAATTTCTAGAAACACAAATACCCATACCCTGATCTTAATTCAAACTAGGGTTCCAGTGCATGAGTGACCAAAGATGTTGCACAGCTGCTGGGATCTACTATAAGGGATTCTAAAAATGAATTGGATCTTCAAATAATGTCAAAATTCTAATTGTTCCAAAGCACCACAGAAGTTCCATTATAAATATTCATTGGGAGCTATCCTTGAAGAATGCAGTTTATGTATTCATGTAGGAAATTGATAAGCACAACAAAGGCATTACATATTGAAATGTGTAGACGTGTAGTACCGTTGCTATGCAACGGTCATGAGAAGGAACATGTGTTGCTTGGTAATGGCTGGCAAACATGTCGACAATATATGAGCTCTTGCCAGGCAGGCACCCATAACATCATTGGAAGTATTGTTGAAGGCGGTGTTTTCTGTGGGGTCCATGGCAAGGCTGTATACCAAGGACCTTAGGCCGTGTGGAGGTGGGGTTGAATGCCTCCACCGTAAACCCTGTGAGTCATAGGAGGCGATGAAGAGGGAAGTCTCAAATCTGAGGTAGTAAAATATTGTCGTGAGTACCAAGGGACTTGGACCCAAGAAGGACTGCGCTGGCAAGGGCCAGCAGCATGTACAAAAGACAGACCCATCCTCTTGTGAGAGAGGGCGCTCCACAAAAACAAGACCGTAAATGTCAAACAGTAATAAATATCTGGTCATAGGCCCCAGATTGGGCTCAACACCAAGACTGACTGACTGACTGACTGACTGTCAGTTGCAGTTTGACTTTGACTTGGCTGAATGCAGTTCAGTTGAATGAAATGAAATGAAGTATTTGGTTGGTTCAGGTGTGGGTTGTTAACCAGCAGGCAATGACATAACCATGGAATCTGAAGAATCGCCATTGTTAAGATTATTTACCAGGGAACGTCTAGTGAAAACATTGCAGAGGAATAGCCATTGATGAGAGCTGTTACCAAGCCACGACTAGTGAAAGCAGTCTAGGAAGTTTTAGCTCGGAGTGATTTGTAGTGTGGAAATCAACAACTACATTATGGTTATTTGTAGTTATGACCTGTAAATGGTCACTAAGTCTATTCACCAATCCATACCCTGTCTCTGGTCACCTCTAAATTGTGGCAGTATCTTCTCTTTGTTATGGTCATCCCCAAAAGTAACTAGTGTTGATGTTCATGCTTCTCTAAAATTTGATAACATAATTCATTGCATGATTCTTATGTATGTGCCTGAATCGTGTGACATGAATGTATAATAAGGAGGTTTAGGCCTCATGTTGAACAGATTTTGAAGACATTTGGTACTGTGGTATATAAAAAGATACAAATGGTTTGCATTGAAAGTTGTTTAGTGCATTGAATTTCGGTTTTTATCAGCTTTCCTACTTTATTTAAAGCTCAAATTAAACTTTAATTGATATGCTCAAGAATGACCGTGAAAATCTGCAATAAAAGAGCCAGAGTTTTCAGCACCATTAACTGGAGGATATAGTGCTACAACTGATGTAATGTTGCAGTTTGAAGGCATTGTCCAGTCTTCACAATGCAGTTATTATTATTTTTGCATCATGCTTTGTAGTTGAAAGTGAGAGAACTTTTGTCACCATTTGATATTTGTCCACTGTTAGATATTCTGTCAGAGCCCCTTCTTTAGTTTTCATAAGCTTTTATAACAAATGTCTGAAATAGTGAATTGTAAAGACAGACTGTGGCAGGACCTAGTGTTTGAATTCAATTAATCATCAAGTGGGAACTGGATGAACCTGCATAAATTTACTACTAACTAGTGAACATTTCATGATGTAAAGGCTTAACCAAATTGGTAACCAAAAATGACCTAAATAGGACACACATTGCAGTTGGTTCAAGTTCTAAGTTAACTCTACCTCCACAGTTTTGGAAAAGTATCTGTTAATTTTATTCCTTTTTTTATAGGTGAGAGAAGCACATGGGAGGAGGATAAATCAGACATTGATCCAAATTCTGCCACAGCTTTTGTGTATAATCCTCATGTGTCACTGTCTTTGGAGCAGCAGCGTGAAAGACTTCCTGTGTTCAGGAATAGAAATCATATCCTGTATTTGCTGGAAAAGTTCCAGACACTAGTGCTTGTTGGAGAAACTGGGTGTGGCAAGAGCACACAGGTGCCTCAGGTGAGTGTTCAATAAACGAAACAAGAACATTTATTTCTTAAGGTAATGTATCATATTTTCTAGAATATTTCCAAAACAGTTTTCATAAACTTATAGATCAGATTTGGAATATCATAATCAGGGGGTGGAAATGGCTTATTGTTCTACGTAAATGTTTCATTTATGAATGAGATAGATGCTGCGTATCAGTAGAAAAGCCCCAGGGAATGACTAACACATTAAAAAGAAAGTATTACCCTGTAGGCTTATAAATTTCTTTGTACATGTGTTGTTGTTGGGAGCAGTAGTTACACTGTCATAAGGCACTGGAAATAGCTTACCCAAAATGAAGTACTCTGGAACTAAATAGATGATGTCTACCCATGTTACCTCCATTTCTAGCCCTGATCATAATGGAATGCAGCTCTAGAACTAAGGTTTATCATTTGACAGCTTTAGAGAATACCCACTTTTAGTATAGTTTTTATTCTGTTATGTAAGGAAGGCTAGTGATGTAATTATGTTTGTGTCATTATACTGCTATACATTAAAAAGTCTCAACACTACCAACATGAAACCCACATTAATTGCTGGGTGTGAACATTACTAGCAACATTCAGTATAGAATTCAGAAATGTTGAATAAGTATGAACTTGTAAAGAAAGAAAAATTAAACTGTATAAAGGTAATATTTGTCAGTATACAGGATGAACCACTTAACATCATCACCTTGAACAACTCCTTTGTTATCTTTTGCATCAGGAATATCTTAAGACAAAATTTGCTTGGTGTCAAAGGGGGAATGTTATATGTGGAACAGATTGTTTCTATCTTGCATTTCCTACAACATATCAGAGCTATGTAAGATTTGAGGCTTTCACGGCGGTGACTATGAAGAAAGCAGTTTTCTTCATATCAGAGCTAGCTTCACTTTTTTAAATGGAACTTGATTATTTTACCCCCACCAGAGTTGTATAGAAGATCAGTATTATTTCACTCTCCATAAATTGAATACCATTCTAATAAACTGTATGTGTGAAACTACCCCTCAAAGAGTGATCTGAGGTGTTACAATCCAGCAAAGCATTACCTTGGTATTATGTATTTAGTGACTAGACAGGGGGTTTGGATTGGTAATTGGATTTATTGGACACTTACAAGTCGTAACTACAAGTAATTATAGTGCTCTTTCTAATTCATTTACTCAACTTCTCACTACAGAGCACACTAAGCCTTCTCAGTTTGTCATTGTTAGTGGTTGCCTGGCACTGGGTCTCAACAGTGTATATTCCTCAGCTTCCATGTTCAACAGCCACTGTCCTCATGCAGACCAAATAGAAAACACTCTTTCCAACAGTTCCTCTGTTGCATCACTTGTTTGTTGCCTTGGAGACGTGTTTATCGGCTGTTCCCCAGCAACACTCTACCCTCCATCTCCACTACGAGAGGCGTTCAAGTTCTAAGGTCTCTGATTCTTTTTCTCAGGACTGGGAGCAGATAGACACATGCGGTTTAGTTTAAAATACGTGTGCACTCTTTGTGAATGCGTGACAGAGATGGCAGCACTGTATGGCACACAGAACTCTAGTGGTGGTGGTGAGCGTGAGGAGTGTTTTTGATACCTAAAATGGTGACGTTTTCGTTACAAGAACAGCGAGTAATTATTTGTTTTTTCCACTTGTGTGGTGCGACACCCCTTGAAATTCATCGCCAGTTGAGTGAGACATGTGGTGATGGTGTCATGAATGTGAAAAATATGTGTTCGTGTGTGTGACAGTTCAAAGAAGGCTGAACGTCATGTGACAATGAACCAAAACAATCTCAGCCTCACACCAGCCGGTCTGACAACATGGTCTCAAAAAAGTTGAGAAAGTTGTTTTGGAGGATCGCCGATTGAGTGTAGAAAACATCGCCTCCAAAGTTGGCATTTCCATGGGATCTGTGCACACAATCCTGCATGAAGACCTGCGAATGCGGAAAGTGTCCTCCAGGTGGGTGCTACGATTGCTGGGGGACGACCACAAGGCTGCGCGCATGGCAATTTGCCAGGCGATGTTGTCACGTGATGAAGGCATGAATGGGACTTTATTTTCATCAATTGTGACAATGGATGAGACATGGATGCTGTTTTTCAATCTTGAAATTAAGCACCAGTCAGCTCAATGGAAGCACACAGGCTCACCGCCACCAAAAACTTTGGGTAAGCTCCAGTGCTGAAAAAATGATGGTGTCCATGTTTTGGGACAGCGATGGCGTAATCCTTACTCATTGCGTACCAAAGGGCACTACAGTGACAGGTGCATCCTACCAAGATGTTTTGAAGAACAAGCTCCTTCCAGCACTGCGAGAAAAATGTCTGGAAAAGGCTGCACGTGTGCTCTTTCACCAGGACAATGCACCAGCGCATCGGGCGTACGCGACACAGCAGTTTCTTCATAAAACAACGTTTAAGTGGTTTCTCATGCTCCCTACTCACCTGACCTGGCTCCTAGCGATTTTTGGCTTTTCCCAACGATGAAAGACACTCTCCATGGTCGCACATTCACCAGTTGTGCCACTACTGCATCAGTGATTTTCCAGTGGTCAAAATAGACTCCTACAGAAGCGTTCGCAGTGGCCATGGAATCATGGAGTCGACATTGTGAAAAATGTGTACGGCTGCATGGAGATCACGTTGAAAAGTGACAGAAATTTCAAATGTTTTGTATGATTATTGTCTGAGAAAAAAATCGGAGACCTTAGAACTTGAACGCACAACGTATTACAGTCTTTCATCTCTCATGTCACAATATCTTGTAAAAGAGGAAGGATACAAATAATCTGTTTTACACATCATTTGTCCCCGTTTTAAAGCATCCAAATTTTGTCTGAATCATTTCCTGATATGATGGATAATGGTGTTATTCCAGGTGACAATGCTAAGGAGTTCACTCTGCATAATACCTTGAGAATTGTGAAGCCATAAAGTGGGTTTTTCATTTAAGATTGTAATTGATAGTTGTTTGTGTCTAGCCAAGTGAAATTTGATAGAATGAAGGGGAAATAAACAATCTACAAATTGTGCATGCAGATGTTTCAGTTGTTTTAAACACAACTTAATAATGGGATGAACCTTTGTGGTTCTGCTCTCTCCTTCCCCATTTCATGAACAAGGCAGATTTGCTGCTTTATCAAAAGAAAGTGGGCATTTGCCAGTTTTTTATGCTTCCAAACAGCTTAGCTTTAGAAACACTAATTGCAGTAAATGTTGAACTTTTGTGAACTAGGAACAGCTTGATCTTCAGTACATGTGAATTACTTGTTGAAATGTTATGAAGCAACCCAAATCTCTGCAGGTGGTTGGAAATGTATGCATGTTTGTACACATTTCACTGAGTGAAGCTGAATCTAAGATAGTTTCTATATATATTCAGTTATCAGTGTGGAAGTTTCTGCTTTAGTATTAATACAAGTACACATAGCATGTTGAAGCAAACACACATTTGCTTCTTCTCAGTCTAATTAATTAAATTTGAATTGGTGGATGAACTGTCCTCTGTAATAGAACAATTTTATTTGTCCCCAACAAGCCAGAAAATGTATGTCTCTATCTTGTTAAAATTTTGCCACATCCTAATTCAGAATCAGAACTTTGTTGTTTATGTTTTTCTGTCAGTGATCTTTTACAACCTCAGCTTGGTTCCAGTAGATACATTTTCTTTTCACTGCTGCTACTACTATACAACCACTGAAATGAAAGTGTTCTAAGAAATTCCCTTTGTCAGAAATGTCAGTCTATTCTTCTGAATCTGAATTATTTGTAATTTCTGATATTATAAAGATGTTTTGGCCACAAAGAATAACCCAGACTCTTACTAGTCTCGTGACTGTTCATCTTGCTTTGACTGCACTAAAAACTGCATTGCATCATAGGACCTATCTTGGGTTTCTGAGCTCATAAACACTTCAGCTTATAACAGGAAACACACAAGTCTTCAAGTCTTGACCTTGGCCACAGTGTCCAGGCAGTGAAAACAGTTCCTTGCTAAGGAGAGAAAACTGAACACATGTGGTTTGTGGTTTGTGGTTTGTGGTGTGTGATGAGGTTGATTTAGTGTTTGTTTTGAAAGGGCAGAGTCTTGATTTATGATGTGGTGATGAAACCTGTTGTTATCCAGTAACCCTAGAAGGTTGGAGATGCTGCCCAGTGAAAAGTTCATGTTGATAATGCAGTAGTTTTATCTTGTGAATTTTTTAATATCATGTTAGTAGTACTACTGCCAGTGTCTTTGTGAGACAAGCCAGTTGGTAGTAGTAGTAGTAGTAGTAGTAGTAGTAGTAGTACCAGATAGAATGTGTTAACCAAGCTTGAGAAAAAATTTGATGAAGTAATTGTGATGGATTTGAGGTTCTCACTGTGGTGGTAATATTATGCTGTACAGTCAGTTGAATTTCAATGGACTACATAGCGTTATATCCAAAAAGATAGAAATCTTCTAAGTAATTATGTTATACATAGTGCCAATATTGATGGCTGAGACAGGCTAAACACTTGAGTTTATGGATTCGGGTTTGATCCACATTTTTAGAGAAGGCAAATGTTTGTCTGCATATGGCTGTAGTGCAGCAACAACAAAAAATATATTCAATAAATTGTTATAAATTATGATCTCAATTTACATACTCGTGTAATGTATTTTAAACAATAATTGCATAATAGTATTGTGTCACATATTTTAAACCATAAATGCATTGTTATAGTAGAATTTTATTACATATTTTAAACGGTAATTACCGTGGTTTTATATTTTAGCGTATTTTGAACAGTAATTACATGGGTATTATAGTGTAGTGTTATATATGTTAAATAGTAATGTCACTGTTATGTTATAGTGAATAATATTACATAGCTTTTGCCTTTTTCATTTCACTTTGCTCTTTTGCGCTCTTCCAATACCTTATACCACTATAACTAATTTTGCTCCACTGTGCTAATGGTTACTATTTAACATCTTTTGAAGAATTCTGAGTTGCACATGAAAATACTGCATGTCCGGTTCAACACTTTTTATTTAAGGAAGAAACTTGTAAGCTATGGTGTCAGTGTTGTGCAATACTAAATAATTGGTTGTTTTTTGCATTATTTTTAGCTGATAGACATTTAGAAGGGATTTGTGGTATAATACTGTTTTTCTTGATTATGTCATGTTTCTTGTCTTTGATCCACACCTTCCAGCACAGTGTAAAAGTGATCTCACATTTTGGCATTGTGCTCTGTCTGAAGAAAACAGCAAATTCATAAGTAAACTGAAGAATTTTAGTACTAGCTGTAAATTATCTCTGATAACTATGATGATCCAGTCCTCTAATGACTAAAATATGTCAGTCAAAATTGTAACATGTTTTTGGTTTGAGTTGAAGTCAATTGGCACTGTGAGGATTGTTTATACTGTTGTATTTCTCCTACATATCTTGTATTTTCTTTTTGTCCTTCTTTAACCAGTTGAACTTGTGCTTAATCATTGTCGTAATTGCAGGTAGTTGCCCAGTTGCGTAAATTTATCATTGGTCTGTGTTCTCTGCATTTGTTTTTCATTTATGCCAACACCAGTTGAGTTCATACTTCATTATAATTGTAGGAGTCTCTGTATGTATTTTTTGAAGGTTTTTTTTATGTTTTGCATATCAGTCTGTTCCAGAAGATATAAAAAAGTGTGGGTTTTTTTTGTATGAGTGGTTAATGGTGTTGAAAATGTTTATTATATTGGACACACTGAAGGCTTTGATTTCACTAAATTTAACACAAGTCAATTCAAATTTTATATTTTGAATTCAATTACCATACACATATTTATACAGGGTGTTTCACGACTTCAGGGCATGACTGCAGGAGGTGATTTCCTAGGTATTTGTGATCAAAAAAGTTAATATAAACATGTGTCCGATTTTGGATGGTTACGGAATTATGACCATTTTCTCATTCCCGTACACGCCGTCGTGTGAACCGCGTCTGTCAGCTGTCAGGTTGCTGTTTTTAGCCAGCTACAGACAGAGCGTTCTCGTTATCTCGACACTTGAGATGTATCTAAGGTGGGGAGGGTTGGTATGTCCATCACGGTTCACAACTGAGCGGCAGCCTGTGTTGCGGCCGGCGGTGGCATTTTCAAAAATCAGCTTTAAGCACCAATAAATTCAAATTAAAGGTAATTTCACGAAGTTAACTTTACATTCATGCTTTAAATGCATCATGTATTATGCTGGTTTATTATTTTGATCCGTTTATTGTCAGTAATCGTTACCTTCTATTCTGAGTTTAAAACGGTCATAACTCCGTAACTGTTCAAAATTGGACACATGTTTATATGAACTTTTTTGATAACAAAGACTTAGGCAGTCACCTCCTGCAGTTATGCCCTAAAGTCGTGAAACACTCTGTATAGGGAGTTGCACAAAGAAATGAGAAATAATGTGTAAATTTGAAATTTTCTTGCATTTTATATTTGTTTATTTCATGTAGAGTGCAGCTAAGGGAAGGGCTGACTGCTACTTATTCCTGTATGTTTGTGGGTCCCAGTCTGTATTCCTTAGCGTAGTGTGTGGGACACAGTTTTTCCTTCTGTTGTTTCATTCTAAAGTAATGTATAGCATACATAACATGTTCATAATTTATGGTCTTTCTTTATTCCTTTATATCCAGTAAATGTCAGTTATACCCCAAGAATTATCTTTTGTTTCTTTCCATATATAATGCATAATCTGTGGTCGTGTTTATACGTAGGTCATACTGAAAGTCATGAGCAACAATTTTTTGTAAAGTAACATGCTTTATTATTGACAAACCAAATACACCACCTCAGTCTACAGACCTTTCTTTATTTTTCCACGTAATCACCACTTCGTTATACACATTTCTCCCAGCGTTCTGGGAGTTTGAAAATTCCCCTTTTTTAAAATTCCGTTCCAGCCATCCGAAGACACTGACACACTGCTTTCTGAATTCAATATGCTTATGGAAGTGTGTGCATGGGTGCGAGCAGTGTTCAAAGACGGGAACACCACCACATGAGCCTCGGAGCGGTTGTCCTCAAACAGCCTCAATTGAACGCAACAAGGAAAGAGTGGATGAGATCATTCAAGAGACAGGCTTGTGACTGTGGACACAATAGCGCAAAAACTTCTAATAAAGCACAGTGCCGTACAGGAGATGATTGTAAGCTTGGGCTATAGGAAAGTTTATGCTCTTTGTGTCCCGCAGTTATTGACCGAAGACCACAAAGGTCACATTGGGAGCAATTGCAAAGATGGGGTGGGAAGTTCTTCCACACCCCTCCTATAGCCCTGATCTGGCACCCTCCGACTACCATCTTTTCAGATTTGTGAAGGATCAGCTGCATGGACAACGTTTTGAGACAAAGGAGGCATCTCAGAAAGCAGTGTGTCAGTGTCTTCGGATGGCTGGAACGGAATTTTACAGAAGGGGAATTTTCAAACTCCCAGAACGCTGGGAGAAATGTGTACAAAGAAGTGGCAATTATGTGGAAAAATAAAGAAAGGTCTGTAGATTGAGGCGGTGTATTTGGTTTATCAATAATAAAGCATGTTACTTTACAAAAAATTGTTGCTCATGACTTTCAGTATGATCCTCGTATATAATATATATTAGTAGTTTGACATACTGGTGAATTTGCTATCATGTAAAAACTGTTGTTATAGCATTTATTTACATGCAGCTATCATTACATATGATGAATATAATTCATATATGAGTACTGAGAGGTGACTTAAAATTAGCAGTTGTGCATGTGTGTTTTTGTTGTAGTTTTGACTGTGTTTTCCTTTCTTCTTTATTCAGGTGAGTGGGCATCCTCTTGCTGGAGTTATATTACATTAGAAAATAGATACCTGATTTAGGATTTAAACAACACTACAAAATTCCACTTGAAGCAAAAATGGTGGGTCCATCTTCATTGTTTAGCAAAATCCTTGTGGGATGTATGTTTCTCTTGTTTTTGTATTTCTTATACATGGATACAAGTTTATATTTTCGAATACAGAACTTTCCTATACGAAGAGAAGCTGATAATAGTACTTTACTGGAATCGGAATTATTTTTTTCTTGTGAAGTTTCTCCACTTTGTGATGTGACAGTAAAATCTATGATGTTGGACCATGCCAATCACTACTTGTTGAGCCCATTGGCAACACTGGCTGACAAGATTCTTGGCATTCATCATATAGAATACATAACACCAAATATGATAAGTGCATTTCATGTACTTGTGGCAGTTGCTTCTGCCAAGTGTATAGCATCTGATTCCTTGGTGACACGCCGGGTGGGTGTTGGACTGTTTGAGCTGCGAAGCATGCTGGATGATCTAGATGGACATGTTGCTAGAGCCAGAAAACACATTCGAGGAGAAACATCTGAAATAGGATCTGTGGGTTACTTTGTGGATGGTTTGTGTGATGCATTAGGAACAATAGCATTATTGATTGGTTGCCTTGTTTTCCTGAAGAACAACCCTCCACGTAGAGGCTATACGCAACTGCAGACGATAATCCCGCAAGTACTGGATGTGTCAAAGGACACTGGTGCAGGTGTAACATATAAAGGAAAAGTTACATCAAAGAAAGTGATGCATAAATTGAGTTGTTTTGGAGCACAGGTGTTGCTGAGCTCAACAGCCTGGAATCGGTACATTGCTTTGTACCAGGATCTTTTGGAGAGGCACAGTGTGACAGAACAACAGGCACAGGGTCAAATCCAAGCATTTCGATCATCTCTGATGTGGACTGTTGCGTGGTTATGGCGTTTATTTAATCCACAAGCCTATATTCATGCTTTGCTTATTGCCATCTTTTGTGACAAGGTATGGGAGTTACTTCGTGCTGTGCAGTATATTGGATTTATTGTGCTCCTGTGTCTTATTTGTATTTCTGAGATGCATGTGCTAGAGGTTCAAGCTTTCATATATAAATCTCTTAGCAACAGCACGACTGTGACATAATGATTATTGTGAACATGGAATGTTTCAATTTAAGTTAGCCATTACAGATTCTAAGTTGGTGGAATGGTTTCAAGTATATTTTTACATAGCATTGCTTGTTTGAAGACTGTGCCATATATAGTTGGCTAATGTTTTTCCTCCAAATATTAATTTTTCATGTTCTAATGATGATTTTATATGTATAGTATATATACATATACTCAGTAAATTATTTTACTCTTGAAACAAATGTTCATCTCTCATAGAATGGGCCATAATACAGTTGGAGCATTATGTTTCATGTATATGGTGTCTCAAATTAAATATAAGATTCATTTACGGAGAGTACTAGCAAACTGAACCAGCAGCACAGCATACCAAGAAAAATGAACCTGAACATATTAAAATGGTAGAATGTTTGTGTTGTACAGAGGTGTAACAGTGAAACTATAGTACAAATTAATGTGCTCATATACAGTTATGAAAATGGCAGGTATTGATAATAATGTGACACTGCTGTATGCAGCAGTTTGCATCTTTTGGCAGTAAATGGTGGTTGTAAGTTCTGTATTAATTTGGATCCTTATTTCAGTGAGTGTAGTATTTGTCCATTAATGTGTTAATAAAAGGTGTTGGTGATAAGTTATGATGAATACAAAACATCTTGCTGTTTACTTCATTTCTCAACTTGACGATAATTAATTGCCTCTGATTCATAGCTGTATGCAGTGTTAATAGACAGATGCACATTCTAGCCTGTGGAAATGTAAAACAAACCACTTGGAATGTATTTGTTCAGTATAAAGAAAAAATGGATTCTTGTAAAATCTGCCATGACAGATCATGTGTTTTGAATTTAAAAGTTAATGAAGAGTTCTGTCCTTTGGGGTGTAATGCTTTGTAGTCCATTGAAAGTCAGCCAATATTTCAGAGGAACATATGACCGTCTTCAGGGTCAGAGCGTAAACGAAGCAAGAAACCATTGTGAAGCAGACAGCAAGCAGGGTGAATTGACTTTCACCGGACTACATGACATTTTCATAGTCACTGCTGTGAGTGAGCACTTCAGATCCAACATATAAGTTAATAATTTGCATGGGATTTCCATTGAATGACTTGGTTCTTATTTATTCAGAGGACATAATTTGCTCAGTCAAAGCTATGCATTTTAAAAAGAAATTACAGTAGAACTTGGTTATAACGTCATCAAAGGGACCTAAAAATAGTGTCGTTGTAACCGAAATGGGCACTTCCACAGTAGTTATGTTAGTCACGTAAAACTCTACCAAAAACCGAGTTAAAATGTTGCATTTTTTAGTGAAATCCATAGTTAAGTACAGACTAACATAACATTAACGTGGAATTGCCCAAATGTGTAATATCAAAGACATATTACAGCGCTTTTCACTGACAATACACACAATATTTCACGAATCACTTTAACTTTCTCTTCAATGCTTAAAACTGTCCTTTTCATTGCCATTTTTTCGCTACTGCACTTCTCTGGGTTTAGGCAGGAACACTATAGGGTAAGTAGACAATGTGAGGTCCTGTTAGACGAGATTCTAGGAAAGGAATGCAGTTAACAACCTGCCGCGTCCTCTAGCACTATTCACGCAGTCCCACCCCACACCCTTGTTTTCGCATAAAACCCACGGTCCTCTTGCAGATCGCGGTCATATTCTTCCAGGACAGTCACGTCAACAAGTAGAGAAAGTGAGGGTGGGCAGACACATCGAACTTTCCCACGATATCAGAGAAATTCAGGAATGAAAGTGACGTTACATACGAGGTTGATGCATTTGTGCATGTCGTACTAAGCAAGGTATAAAAACAGTTGCTTTATGAGGAATTAGTTCGTACCATTGAATATTTGACGCAATAGACAAGGTGCCGCAGAAACCGATGTTGCTATAACCAAGTTTTACTGTATAACTTTTTTTGTAGTTGATGCTATAAATATGTATTTTTAAGACTTTATAAGGGGCACATTGTAGTGTAGATGGTTGAGGCACTATGCTACAAGGCGGAAGGTCGAAGGTTCGAGTCCAGATGAGGTGGATTTTTCAATTTACCTAGTCCTTCCAGCTGCACTACGGCCCAAAGGTCAACTCAACCTCTAACAGAAATACTACCAGGAATCTTCCTGGGGAGTAAAGTGTGGCTGTGAGTAAGGCTGACAACCTTACCGCCATCTGTGAGCAGTTGTCTAGACAAAATGTAGGAGCCTCGACGTCTCACAACCCTATGGACCTCCATGGCCTGATAACAAGGATAGCTTTACCTTAACATATAAGCCTTCATAGCTTGTGAAGTGATTATACACTTTTTGTTCTTCAGAATTATGAGATTGAAGACAGCTGTGGAATTTATGATGGCACTATTTCAATACAAAATAGAAAAAGTTAGGAACCTTTGATGTACAGATGTACTGTATACAGCTATATTAATTTTTTGTCCCTTTGAAATTAGCCATTTTATTTCAGAACTAGGAGAGAAAGTGAATACTTCCTCACTCAGTTATAGAGAAAGAGGAAATATGTATGTGTGTGTAGTATGCTTTCAAACTTTCAGTTGGTTGTAGGCCATAGATAATAGCATCATTTAGGCAAAAGCGGTATCACGTGGTGCAGTATTTGAGGTCAAGAAAATGTTCTGTTTTAACAAGGAAAATGTAATCGGGGTTAAAATAATGCATTTGTAGAACACAACCCTATTAGCACATTTGAAATTAATAGACTAGAAAACTTTTGAACCATATTTTTCCTGCTGTTTTTAAACGTCAGTTTTTATTTGAAGTGAAATGATTTGATATCCAGATTCCAAAACAGACTGTATGCATGTTTGTAAGCCAGGTCTGAAACAGTGTTTCAGTTGATGTAGGCCAAATAAAATGAACAGTTTTTATGAACTGAATCCCAGTCAAATAAAGTTGATTCAAGTTGTCAGGTATACAGCAGATAATCAGCTCTGATAGAAGAACAGATTCTGACAGGGCCAAGATATTGTCACAGTTTTAGTAACTAGACGCAGGATTTTAATTTGTAACTGGATTTGTTGAGCACTTATAAATTGTAACTACAAGTAATTATAATTCTGTCACTAATTCATGCGCTCTACTTCTCACTGCAGCACACGCTAAGTCTTCTGTATCTTCAGTAGTCATTACTAGGTTACAGATCCCAGCAGTGTTCCCTTCTGCTCATGTTGTTGCTGACCTTCGACCATGTCACATCTCACAGCTAACTCGTGGCTGCAGCTGACTCTTGAATTGATCCTCAAGTGGCCATTCACTGGCTGTGACTAACTTCTGACTGTCGACATCTGACTCATGGCTGACTAACTTTTCCTTATGTCTCTCACTATATAGCCATGGCATGGACTGCATGGAAAACACAACCTTTTACAGTTTCTCTGTTGTTTGCATGTGTATCGGTTGCCGAAGAAACATGTTTAGCACATTTATCAAGCAATGGCCGTATCCTCTGGCTGCACTGGTCCAGCCTTTAAGCTGCCATGTTACAGTATAAAATAAGGTTAAGGCCTTGACCAAGTCAGATATACTTAAGCTCATTACATTTTGAATTAACTGTTTATAATCTTCAATATAAAACAAAATTTAGTTCTGAAATATTCAGTTGGATAATTTTATGGAGATTTACATGGCAGAGTACCTAATTTCTGTCATGATGCTGTGAAATTAGTTTGAAATTATAAATGATACAGATATAAATAATACCCAGTTAATAATTAATAATACCAAATACTGAATTTGGACACTAAATTCAGGGAAATCTTAAATAGAGGAAGTTTAACACTGGAATTGTTAATTTTGGATCATTGAATTTGGATGTTAAATGGGAGAAGACGTTAAATCAAGAAACATTAAATGTGGGTTTTACTGTATGTAACTGAAATTGAAAATTAGATTTCATGCTTTCATTTCTTGTGGGTTTTCATAAATGTTACATTAAGAATACTTGAAGTGTATTATTTTGTTTATATTGTGACATGTCTGGTGAGAGCCTGAGTAGCGGAACCAGAGGAGACATCCTTGCTAGACATCAGCTCTGTAAGCACATTTCCACCACAACCACAACCACATCACATGACTGCAGTAGCAGATATACATGAAACAATAGAGGAACGGTTGGAAGTGGTGTTTTCTACTGTGAGGCGGTTAGAGCTCTCAGTTGGTTGAGAATGTGAGAGAGTTACTGTCTTGGGTTAGATGTGAGAGAACAGAAGCCGTTGAACATGGAAGCTGAGAGATCTGGACTATTGTGGAAGACAGTTACCAAGTGATGACTGATGAAGACAGAGCAGACTGATAAGACTTAGTTTGTGTTATAGTGAATTGCAGAGTGTGTGAGTTTATGGCGGTGCTGTAATTACTTGTAGTTACAAGTTTTTCAATAAATCCTGTCACCTATCCAAACCGCATATCTAGTCACTAATGAATGAATGAATGTATAAGGGTTGGGCCTTCTCGGCCCTTGCACCGCGACCTACAGTGATCTGTTGTGCTTCAATATGCGACAGTATATTTTACTCTTATTCATTGAACGTTTGGAAAGGCCATGTTTGTCTTTAGAACTAGTCTGGAAATTTTGAAATAAAACATTACTTTTTTTAACATCTATTTCTGTTGTATGAGGATGAAGTACTGAGTGTTGGGCTTTAGTAATATTCATACAGTTTAAATGTGATTAATATGTGATACATGGCATACTGATACTTTATGGTTTTTATTAATTAATTCATTTTCCATGTTTATACTTAAGTGTTTGTTATTTTCGGTACTGGTCCCTTGTGAACGTTTGTAATGTGTCTGTTAATTGTAGTACAAGTTATTCAGATTACTGAACTAATTTGAGACACCTGTTGCATGCCCTTTCGTAACAAATACATGATTGATATTCATGTGTGCATAATAGATTTGTAATATAGAGGAGAGGACCAGTCTTGTTATGGAAATCACATTGTCAGAATATTGTGGGTCCTGATATTTCTCTAATTTCCTGTATATGAAGAGGGGAGTCAGATGTTCCACCTTCTTAAAACGTAATGTCCATATATTGTGCTGTACATGATGTATTGAAGTCAGAGCCATCTAGTACCGCTTTCTTTTTATTGGTGTTGGAAATTTCGAAGGGAAGTTGAGACGTTTGGTGTGCTTTTATGCACCTGTACTCCCATGGCAGTACATCAAGCTATCAGATGTTACTGACAGCAGAAACAGCAAAGCAGCTGGTTTGCAAGAGTATAGACTTTGTCTGTCAATTTATAATAACATGACAATAGTACAGCTTTAGTTCTAGTGGAAAAGGCATCCTTTTAAGTAATATAATTTTTGGTAAATTCCTGTACATGGAAAACTTTGCATATTACGTTTTATCAAGGGATAACTGAAATGGATAGGAAGTCAGTGTTAGACAAATACTTCGGACCTTCTGTAATATGCTGCAGCAGAAGAAATTCTGCTAAACTTGACTGCAACAGTTTTACTTAAGATAATACTTTCATTGAAGTAGCATGATTCTGTACTGCATGCTGAATTTATGATTAAGTTAATACGTGAAGAATGCAGTCTTCTGGGATTTGGCACCGTGTATATGTGGTGTTAACCGACGTTTCGGAGGAACGTATCGCCCCCATCTTCAGGGTTGAAGAAAAAGTATAAGTAAATCTGCAAGCGACAACACCGTGAGACACGATAAAGCAGACTAAAGAGTATACCGTTAGAGCAGAGAGGGAAGGGGATGAACTGCAAGTGAACAAGTGAAAGCAGTGGTGTGGGAGGGGTGGGGGAAGGGAGCCGGGACAAGCGATTTTGTGTAGGGGAGAGATAGCAAGGTTAACTGGCTGGGCTTTAACTGTGAGCTGAGGGGGGGGGGTGTTATCTATCTCTCCCCTACACAAAAT